AGAGCCAGTAAGGGATCCTTACTCCACAGTTTGGTGCTCTTAACCGTTTCCTACCATCGATTTCTGAAAGAGGTTTCCAGGCCCAAAATAACCATGGTTGCAGGGAAACCCCAAATATAGAGAGGAGGCCTCTCTCTGGCAGTGAATATCCTTTCATTCAACAAACGTCTGTTGAGCCCCTGTGTGTGCGAGGCATAGGGCTGGGGATTCGGCAGGGAACCAGACAGCCTGGACAGACTCTTGTATGGGATGCCCCGTGAAGGCTGTGATGGGAACCATAGACGGAGGCCAACTCTAAAGGAAAGGGGTTGGTCTGAAAACCCACACCCCCACCCCAGCCAGTCAGGGACTTTTCCCAGCTCTACCCAGCTCTGCTTAGGGAACATTGCCACCCCTCCCTGGGAGACTAAGGCGCCGAGCTCACCTAACCCACAGGCACGTGATGGTATTCCTGACGCCAGGGAGACAACAGACACTTCTACACAGGGCCTCCTAAAGAAATCAGAGGCCTACAGCTCTTCTTGGATAGGCCTGTGCAGGGAGGCCAAGCAACTTCTTGGGTTACCAGGTCTTTGTCTACAAGCTGTGGTGTCCAATGTCTGCCCGGTGCCGCAGCTGATGACAGGAAGATGAAAGGACCCACAGCTCTCATACTTTTTTTCCATAGCACAGCCCTACCCTCAGCAGCCTGAGTTTCAGGTTTCCTAGGCAAGGCCTACTGGAGCCCCTTTGCCCCCTCTGCCCATGGCATACAAAGTGGCACCTTGTAAACTTATTGAGTAGCCTAAGCAGGACTGTGCAGTGCCAGGTCACACATCTAGCCCAAGGACCCAACACAGGGCTTGACATAAAGTAGGTGTATGTTTTTCCAAATTTGGGGACCTTTCTATTTTAGAATCACCAAGAGATGCTTTTAACATGCAGATCTCACTTACTCTTACATATTATTGGAAAGATACACAAGGAATCTTTGCCTCAGGGGAGGGGAACTAGGTGACTAGGGGACAGGAGTTGGGGTGATTTTTCACTTTATACCCTTTTCCTTTTAGATTCCAATCTATATGAATGTATTACGTATGTTCCTTTTAGATTCCAACCTGTATGAATGTATTACGTATGTAAAAAATATTTTACTTCAAAAAATAAATTGGTGTCAGGTCAAAAAAAATGCAGATTCTTAGGTCAACTTCTTGCTATAATGAATCAGACTTTTGGGGTGGGGGGCAGGTTGTTCTGCCTTTTAAACAAGTCTCCAAGTGATTCTTAAATCCAGGGTAAGTTGAGAAACCTCTATAGTAGGGACTCAGCATTGAAGCACTGCTAAGCAGTGTCGGTCAAAGGTGACTCATTTAGCTCCACGCTTTCTGAATCAACCCTATTTTCCTTTAAATCCTCCATTCAGGGGACAAGGCAGTTACAGGACTGTGGGGTACAGGTTAGGGATCACTCATCCCCACTCATTAACCATAAACACCAGCCCAGGTCAGAAAGGACTGGCTCCCTCACAGTCCCTTCGGTGTGAGGGCATGTGTGGAGGGTGGGGGTGAGGTGGGGGATTCCCATTGGCTCCAGAGCTGGACCTGAGAAGGCTGAGGTGTCTTCCTTACTTCAATGACTCCATACATCATGTAATGAAAACTTGTTCCATAGAGGAAGGAAATCAAAGAGAAGGGATTTTCCAGTGTCATACAGCCCCTTCAGAGCAGGGCTGAGGTTCCAGCCCTAGCTATGCTTCTGCCTCCACAGCCCAGATATTGCATTTTAGCCCCACCTCTCAAATATTTTCTGATTTATAACTATTCCCAGCATACTACCTCTAGGGAAGCTAAAGGCCTCAGATTTAAGCAGTCCAGGCGGGAAAATCTGTTTGTTTGTTTTTAAATGGTAAATTCATTTCCAGAGATGATCTTCCTTTGTAAATAGTTTCATTACCCATAAAGCGTTCACAAGAGGATTCCTAGGAGGACTAGCTCTATCAGTGCATTTAAAATGGGACTTTGTTGCCCGGAATACAGCTCACACTCCCTTTCTCAGGTACCTACTACCCATAGGATAGACTTTGCCCCTAAACTCTGGATGTGTGTTCCAGCATGTAAGGACAGCATGTAAGTTAAGAAGTGATACTGTCCCCATGGTCAGAGGCTTCCTGGCCACACTCTGCCCCTGTGTCAACTTTCTTGGTCTTGCTCTTCTGGTCGAGTGGTAAGCACAGCAACTCTGTTATGTGACCTTGGGCAAGTTATTTCTCTTCTCTGAGCCTCACCTTCCTCTGCTGACCCCCTCCTTCCTTATTGCCAAACTCTAAGCCTTCCACTTACAATCAGACCATCTTATTACTCCAGAGGAGAGAGTGCTGAATTGAAGAAAAAGAGTCAGATTCCTGGGTCTTGATTTGCAAAATGGATGCTTGAGACCCAGAGCTTTTTAAAGCAAGAAAAAAAATTTTTTGGAATGCTGAAAGCCCAAGAGGTTGAAGGACTCAAAGCTTAAATTTTATAGCAGCAACAGCAAGGTTGGGGAGAAGAAGGTATAACGATGCCAGAACCAGGTTTCTGAAAGGCTGGGGGTGGCGGTGGGGTGAATGATGCAGAGAAGAGAGCATTGCAGTTAGCTACTGGGGTGGGTCTCTGAGAAGGGACTCTCTCGCACTCACACCACCGCCCCTTCAACCCACGGATATGGAGAGATTAGGACCCCCAGGAAGGTTTGGGAGCTCTAAGAGTGGAGAGAATCTGTTCTTTGGTCTGTAAGGTGTAAGTCTAAAGTCCTTCATCATTAGGAGGTATGACAGTGGCCAAGTAGAAATGGCAGCTGGGTGTGCCTGGGTAGGTGGGTCTGGGAGCATCTCAGGCTCATGCCTAATGTGTGAGGATCCCAAAGAGCATCAAAATATGTCCTGAGGCCCTAAAACATCATGGAAGCTGCTCAAAGAGGGGATAGGTGACCAGAAAGAGGCTTCTGAGGTGTAATAAAGGAAGCACTAAAGCAGATGAACCCAGACAGTCCAAGACAGAGACCAGGGCACAAATACAGATAGCTATGGGCACAGTGGAAACCAAGGGTGACAGCTCACAACCTGGTAGGGGAAAGGTCTTCCTGACTCCTTGAGCAGTAGGAGAAGATGGATGATGACCAAGGACAAACAGCCCCCTCACCTCCCACTCTATGCCATGACCTCATAAGCTCTGCAGAATGCAGCTGTGACCTTGGCTAGCAGAAGAGGGACAGAACCCTCCACTTGAACATATCCTTGAAACAACTGAGTGGTCATACCCTCCCTGACTGAATTCACCAGAAAGTAACCAGATTATATTTCTGCTAATGGAAAGAGGTACTACAGAAAGTAAGAAAATAAGAGAGCTATCATTTTTGGCAGACCCAAGTTTTCTGACTTTAAAATTTTATATGGCCACAGGTGTACAAGAATCATGCAGATCTGCTGCTGCTCACTTGCTGCTCACATCCTGTGTGATCTGGGTGGGATGTGCGGCATCCCCTCTCCAGCTGCAGTCTCTTTGTCTATAGTATGGGGCATATAGCAGTACCTATCTTACAAGATTTTTGTGAAAATTAATATTTTAGTCTCCAGAATGGCTACAATTAAGAGAACAACAATACCAATTGTTGACAAGGATGTGGAACAATTGGAACTCTCACATTTTGCTGGTACAAGTGTGAATTGATACACTTCAAAAAAATGACAATATCTTCTACAGCTAAACATATGTATAACCAATGGCTCAGTAATTCCAACAGGAATAAATCCTGTGTCCACCAAAAGAAATATTTAAGAATGTTCACTGCAACTTTATTCAAAAAGAAAAAAACTAGAAATAACAAATCCATCAACTATAAAATGAAAAAATAAACCATCATATATTCATAGAATGGAATACTAAACGGCAACGAAAAAGAAACTACTGATATAAACAACACCATGGATGAATCTCAGACATATAATGTTGAGCATAAGAAGCTATGAACAAGTACTTATTGTGTGAGTCCACTGAAATGAAGACCAAAAACAGGCCAAAACTAATCTAGATTAGAGAAGATAGAATAAAAGTTACCTTTGGCAGGGAGGCAGGTATTGATGAGGGAAGCTTCTGTGATGCTAGAAATTCTCTATCTCAGTCCAGATGGTGATTTCATGGGTGTATGCATATATAAAAATTCACTGAGCTATAATCACATTTGTGTACTGCATGTAAGCCATAAATAAATTTTTATAAAAGGGTGTGTGTGAAAAATGTGATAATGTATGTTGCATGCTTAGCACGGCGTCAGCTCAAAAGGAATTTTGAGCCCCTGTAGCCTCTCCTTCACAGGGCA